AAAATTGGAATCATTTTTGCATTGGGGCCTTTCATGTGCGCTAGCTTGTGGGAAAATGATACATTGGCAATATCAAAAACTTAAAAAATGGTCTATTTCATATAACCATGCCCATGGGAATCTCCATGGCATCGTACATGATAACATGTCCATTTTTGGCACTGGCAAGGGTTTTACCATTCTGATCAATAATTCCAAAAAAAAAGTTTGCATGTTGATGACCCACAAGTATAGGGGATTTATCGTAGTCATTTCGATAAGTAAGAGTGTCAAACCCAACGAGGAGCAAAAGGAAATGACAAGTGGTTTTCAGCAAGGTATTCTCTGCAGGCACTGAAATTGTCGGTAACATATAGTTTTGTGATAAGATAAATTGTAATGGGTAACAAGTAATAAAAGTAACTAAGGTGCATCAAGGTGGCCCAATCCTTTTTGTAGCAAAGTACAAGCTTGGACAAACTCTTATATAAAGCAAAGCGCTCCCGAGGACACATGGGAATTACTGTCAAGCTAGTTTTCATCATACTCGTATGATTCGCATTCGTTACTTTGATAATTTGATATGTGGGTGGACCAGTGCTTGGGTTCTGCCCTTCCTTGGACAAGCCTCCCACTTATAATTAACCTCTCTCGCAAGCATCCGCAACTACGAAAGAAGAATTAAGGTAAACCTAACCATAGCATGAAACATATGGATCCAAATCAGCCCCTTATGAAGCAACGCATAAACTAGGGTTTAAGCTTCTGTCACTCCAGCAACCCATCATCTACTTATTACTTCCCAATGCCTTCCCCTAGGCCCAAATAATGGTGAAGTGTCATGTAGTCGATGTTCACATAACACCACTAGAGGAAAGACAACATACATCTCATCAAAATATCGAACGAATACCAAATTCACATGATTACTTATAACAAGACTTCTCCCATGTCCTCAGGAACAAACGTAACTACTCACAAAGCATATTCATAATCAAGATCAGAGGAGTATTAATTATCATTAAGGATCTGAAAATATAATCTTCCATCGGGTAAACCAACTAGCATCAACTACAACGAGTAATCAACACTACTAGCAACCCACAGGTACCAATCTGAGGTTTTGGGACCAAGATCAAATACAAGAGATGAACTAGGGTTTGAGAGGAGATGGTGCTAGTGAAGATGTTGATGGAGATTGACCCCCTCTCGATGAGAGGATTGTTGGTGATGACGATGGCTTCCATTTCCCCCTCCCGGAGGGATGTTTTCCCGGCAGAACAGCTCCGCCGGAGCCCTAGATTTGTTCTGCCCAGGTTCCGCCTCGAGATGGCGGCGCTTCGTCCCAAAAGCTTCCTTCTGATTTTTTTTCAGGTCAAAACACACCATATAGCCAAAGATGGGCACCGGAGGCCTACCAGGGGACCCACAAGGACGGGGGCGCGCCCTCCACCCTTGTGGTTGGCTGGTGGCCCTCCTCTGGTATTTTCTTCGCCCAATATTTTTTATATATTCCAAAAACATGCTCCATGAAGTTTCAGGACTTTGGGAGTTGTGTAGAATAGGTCTCCAATATTTGCTCCTTTTCCAGTCCAGAATTCCAGCTGCCGCCATTCTCCCTCTTCATGTAAACCTTATAAAATAAGAGAGAATAGGCATAAGTAGTGATATAATGTGTAATAACAGCCCATAATGCAATAAATATCAATATAAAAGCATGATGCAAAATGGACGTATCACAGGTTTGGTTAAAAAGTTATTTCTTCCTTTTCCTAGTGCCCACGGTGACTTTTTGTGAAGAAAGTGTGAGAAATTTCAGAGTGTTCTTGCTATATTTTTAGCTTGCACATTATGAATTTCAGTACATGAGGTAAGCTTCCACATCTTGAATCCACAACATTGGAACAGTCAACAATAAACAAAACAAACTTCAATACATGATGTAGCTTCCACATCTCGGATCCACAACACTGGAACAATCGATGATAAACAAAACAAAGTTCAGTACATGAGGTAGCATCCACATATCGGATCCACAACATTGCAACAATCGTCGGTAAACAAAAGAGATTCCATTATATGACAATTGCAATTACACAACTATGAACAGCCACCTATCCTCCGGCTTCGCTTTGTACGTGAGAACCCCTAAAATGTCGCCGGCTTCCGTCACAGGCTTTACGATAAGCGGCCACCTATCCTCCTCTGCATACTCATCCTCCTACACCATCTGCACATCGGTGGCCGGAGCAGGCTTTGACAACCAATCCTCGTCCTCATCCTCATCCTCCTCCACCATTTTCTCTTCGTCGGGCGCAGGCCTTTCGACGGTCCTCAGAAACTCATCTACATTATCAGGCATAATTATGTCTAGAGACATATTAGGGGGAGGCTGCATGTAGATCACCCTGGAATACCAGCGAGACCTTGTTTGACCTATGGATCCGGCGGGCCGCGTCGAAACCGGTATGAATACCAGCGAGCTCGCTGTTGAGGATCCGGTGACTCCATTGACTCACGCATCGTCTAGACGAAAACCCCGATACAAGTCACCCCCTTGAATCGATCTGGAATTATCCGCCGGGTCTCATCCATCCTCGCATCTATCAACAATTGCAACGCATGCTGCACCAGAGTTTTGGTGCTTGGAAATCAGGAGCAGATCTCCTTGCACTTCTCTAGTAAGACAACATCGCCGGCACAAAACATCTCCAATGGTGTCGTCATCGCTGACATCGGCTACAGGATTGGGGGTGGGGAGGGGGTAGAGGTGGGTTGCTCAGGCTACGGGGGGATGTGGGAGAGAGAGGGAGAGGAAGAGAGAGAGATTGCGTCCCCCTTTCTAGACAAATGACCCAGCCATCCACTAGCCACTCCCACCTGTCAACATTTCATATCCTCAAAAAAACCTGTCAGCATTTCAATGGTCCCACGTGTCAGTACCGGGTGAAGTAACGGTCAATGTCTTTGACCCGAGCATGACACTGTTTGGCCTTTTGTAAGGCGGAGGAGAGTAGAGGAGGAGGAAGTGAGAAATGTTAGATGGGTGGGGCAAAACTGAGCACAACTAAGGAAGGAGGGGCACGGAAATAGAAATCCCCTTTATTAAAGCATGTTTTCACTTGGAAATATTTTTGTAAATACAATATGGTATGGTCTCGCAGTTATGATTATGTATTCATGATACACGGAGTTGAACTATTCTGTTACTCCTGAATATGCATAAAGTACTTTAATTTGTTGAGATTTCAAATGAGGTTGCAAGAATTAGAAGGGAATTCAGATGTGGCTGGCATAGCTTTTTTTAAGAAACTAGAACAATGCTCGTGCGTTGCAACGGGATATAAATATTCTAGTACGTTAGTTTGTGGTTTATCTGTCAATAATAATGCGATTGTGCAAATAAATGTTCATCAAATTCTAACCGTGAATTATCTTATATTTTGAGTATTAGTTTGGTAAGGAAATTAAAGTGAAATTAGTTCAGAAGGTAAGTAAATTAAGGTGATTGATTATCATGTACATGGAAGGTTGGATAAAGGGACGGTGGGAAGAAAGGTGAAATGGAAACCTTACATTCTTTTTAAGTAGTAAAGATTTCTATATTTAGTTATCTCAAGATATATATGATGTCATATTTGTCTATTGAGAAAAGGCACGTGCATGTTTACTACTATCTCCATCCGGAATTAGATAATGCTCGAACGGCTAGATACATCTGTTTGAGCGCCAACTAATTCCGGAAGGAGGGAGTAGGAGCGAGCAAGTCCTTGATTTTGCAAAGAACAATTGTCACTGTAGGCTGCTTTCAAAGCGGCTGTCCCATAGACAAGAAAGCATGCAAATCAAAAGTGCATGATTTCAACTAGTTTCCAATGTAGCGTGTCTCCCTGGTTATTTGGATTTTGGTTTTATGCACTCACGGACATGCTTTCCATTAGTTTCAATATAGCATGTCTCTCTGGTTATTTGGCTTTTGGTTTTATGCACTCTTGAAACAAGAAAGAATTGAACCAACCAATTTGCATGGCGAGTATTTAATATTGCTACCTTTTTGAATTCTACCTCATGAAAACTCTCAAGATAATGACCTATGGTTTTCATAGAGGATAGTTGCGAGGTAAGAAAAGGATTCTTGGTGCATCTACTCATATTGAGAATGAAGCCGTAGACAACATGAATCCTTGATGTTGCACAAGAACTTGTTAGTGTATCATGACATACTGAGATAATTAGGCGTCTTTACTCTATGCATATGATGCTAGATCGTGAATATATGGTCGCAATTAATTGAGATGTGTGTTGCATGTGCACGCTCACTATATTCTTTTGTATGAAACTGCAACTAAAATAAGCAATTAGAGAACAAATAATGTTATCTCAAATACATGCTATGGCAAATATATTTTAGTACCGCCGTGTATGAAAATCTCATCTCATATGGCTCAAGCAGCAACACAAAATTTTCAACGAATATTAGGAAGCATCCTGACCAATAAAGGGGCACAGCTGAACAACAAGAGAATAACAGGATTATAACGTAATGAGAATGAGAAAAGATAGGAGGCATAGAGATGAAACTATCACAGAGCTGTAGATTATGGAATGTTATTGATGCATAAATCCGTCCCTTCTTACGGCTAAAACACTAGTAGAAGGGAACATCATTCACAACACGATGCAGGTACCACTAAAACTCGACAGCATTTATGATAGACGGGTAAACCAAAAGGAGATGAGAAGGCCACTAAAACTGAACAGCATTCACAACACAACACAAGTAAAAAATAAAGAGAAGAAAACAAGAAAGAACACGGAAGCAAGGATCCACGAACAAGAATTTTGGAACTATGATATTGAAACTATAATAACCTAAGTGGAGGCGAAATAAGGACTATGATGTTCACAACTGAAGCAGCAGCAGCCCACGCCTGAACTCGAATCGGCATCTTTTTCCCTTCTCAACTCCAGACGAGCATCAAATCATAGCTGCTCCAAACTAGTAAATGGCAGAAGATAAATCAACTGCTCTCCTCCACAGGACCTTTAGTTTTGTTTGCGTTGCTTTCTTCGGCCTTGATGGTAGCTGTCTGTGCATCATTCATTGAGATGGCACCATCACGTTTGTTATCACTTTTCTCAATTTCTTTCAGCTGGACACTCCGAGAAAATGAGTCCGCGATATGAGTAACAGAATTCCCTACAGCCTTAGCGTCTGTTGGCTTCAGGGACTCTGCGCTGCCAGGCTGCTGCTGACGTCTATTTTCCTTCAAGGCTTTCTCCCGTTGCTCATAGAAGTAGAAGTCCTCCACAATGCTTGTCTCGGCCTCATGATTCTTGAATATGCTTAGCATCTGGAGACCATACTCTAGCTTGACCTGCATGAGTTGTTCATTTGGTTAACATATCCTCTCCTTTTCAAGTATTCCCCATAAAAACTCGATTGTTTTTACCTCCTGGGTGTCCCTGCTATTTGTTACAGGTTTGTTGTCATTATTCTCAAGTGTGATGTGCCGGAGTAGGGTGTTTGGGACATCCTTAATAATGTGCCACTTCACAGGAAACTGGCCACTCCACTTGTCTTGCTGCCAATAATCAACACTTCTGTCAAAGTCAACAGGTCCAATCATCTCAGCAACACCACAGAACTGCCCACTGCCATTAACCTATAAGCAGTTATGAATCAGAATAAATTTCACATCTCTAAAGACACAAACCATGTACTCCCTCTGTAAACTAATATAAGATGTTTCAGATCACTATCTAAAACGTCTTATATTAGTTTACAGAGGGAGTACATAGATCCAATGCATCATTCTCAGCCTCATCTTTACATCAACACAAACATATAAACTATAAAAAGAAAGGGGCTGGTCTTACCGAGAAGAACAAGAAAACACGGCAATGGTCTTCTTTCTGTTTGGCCGCACGATAAGCTGAATCCAGCTTTCTATTGCCACTAGCTGTGCTGGCCCAAACATTGTACTTAATGCTCCGATGTACATGGTCCTCCGTGTATGATTTAATTACAAAAAAAATCGCATCCTTGTACTCCGTGGCAAAATCAGGACAATTGTACAGTTCACTGTCAATAAGTTGAGTGGTTTTCTCGCTTTTGTCATCTACTAAAGAATTCTCTCTGTCTTGTTTCTTTGGTTTTGCAGCACGTGGGCCACGGTTTTGCTCATTCAGAAACTCCAGCGCACCATTCTGGATATTGAATGGCATGCTCCCCCTTTGTTGACTGGAGTTGTAGTCGAAATTATTAAATCTACGACCAGCAGAACCCCAATTAGGAGTAATGCCTCCATATTTACTAGCTTGTTGGCGTGCCTTGTAGGATCCAGAATTATACATTGATCCATGCTGCTGCAAATAACATGCATAGTCAATACTGGACATTTCAGGGCACAGTAAGCTTAACAAATAACCAAAGTTGAGGTCCAATAATAACTGCCCCATTTTTACTGAACTGAACGTGTCCAGGGAAGCTTGTGCAAACAGTCCAAATTGCATGACAACATACCATTCCAGAAACCAATGGTGCATTCCCTTGCCCAAATAATCCCGGAGCATTGTTTGGTTGTGTTGCCGCTGCGGAAGAAACTCACAATTAGTTTGAAATGGCTCTGACAGATCTATCACAACAACACATATTGCTTCCAGTCAATATACTTTTGCCTGGAATAATACCGGAGACTGAAAGATACAGAACTTACCTCTGTTGTATGACTCAAATGGTTGGTGGTACACAGTTGTGGGTGAATAGAGAAGACCATCAGGAAGAAAGTACTCTTGCTGAAGCATAGGGTCTCCTTGAGACATTCCAGTACTAGAATTTGAGTATCCCATACTAAGAGAAGCCGGTGGCTGATAGTAAGGACATGAGAAGGGGAAGTGCATAGGGGAATAGGACTGGCCCTCTTCAACAGTTGCAACAGGAGAATAAGCTCCATACATCATTTGGGGGTTGTTCGCATACCCAGGAGATAGCATGATTGACTAGTTAACATTGTATAATTACATCAGCAAAAACACTTGGAAACATAAGTAAGAAAGTAAAACAAGTTCAACAGCCAGCTACTTACAGGTGACGCAGAATGGAGTCCTTCCATACTCACATAATAGGGATACTCTTCCCATTGCCCTGAAGGATTGATGTATCCTACAGAAGATCAAAATAATATTCAAAATAAAAAAAGCATTCCATGAAAAGGATATACCAAATAATCTACCATCTAACCTCGTAAGAATCAAGATATAACACTTCAATAGGACTTCATATTACTACCTCTGTAACTAAATATAAGACATCTTATATTTAGTTACAGAGGTAGCAGTGGTGAACAAAGAAGACCAGTGAAGCAAAAAAATCAATTGTATGGATAGTAAAAAACAAATATAGTGGGCAACAATGCAAACTTGACCCTTTAGGCCCCGCTTGGATTAGCGTTTTCAATCGTATTCGGACAGTTTAGGATACACGCCCAGACTGGTGGTTTTGTTTCCAGGTGGAAAATTAGCTATGACCGGTAATTTACATCTGTAGAATAAATACAGGTGTAGGAATTTACACCCATTCCAAGCATGGGCCTTAGTGTTCTGGGTATGTATTTTGGCCTCTGCAATGTGCAAATGATGCTTAGAATATGTATAAGTATCAGCATTATTAGTACACAGAAAATAATAGCAATCTAACCTCCAGAATAGACTGTCTGTGGCTGTGGTGCATACACATTGGTCTGGTAGACATAAGGCTGTTCTCCACCTTTTCCCAAAAAATTAGCCTTCTCCTGTGCACCTTTTGGTGACTTTAAGGAGGTAGAGCCACGCGCATCAGTAGCACTTGTTTTCTCAGCTGTAATAGAAATAATCTGATGCAACAAAGATCAACTATCAGTAATATTTCAATGTTTGCACAGAAGGGGAGAAAATAAACTGTACAGGCACATTACCTGCTCTTTGGTATTTACACTCTTGGAGGGGTTATTATCGACTACAATTTCTGATTGCAGCAGAATTGTGCACTCTACAAAAAGGAAGGCGCATGCACACATAAGCTGAAAAGGGGAATTTCCAGAAAGTTTTGCCATGGTACATACTGAAATTGCATCATATAAGCCAGAGAATTGTACGACCAACATGCTAAAGCACTCTTTGATTGACAGGTATTTCACATGAGACAGATTGCTTAAGTTATTGAGAGGAAAAAACTGCAAACCTAAAGACACATGCAAAAAAAGAGTGCTTGTACTTCTGAAGCAATTACCAGCAACCTCTTATCAAATTATTTACCATTGGTCACACCCATGTCCTTTGCTCAAGACACCCATGTGACTGTAAAATAGCTTTGTGATGCTCAGTGTATCAGTAGCAAAACTAATTAATTCAGTGAACCACCAAACTCAAATTTCAGGCAGGCTTAAAAGTACTTATGAGCCTTTACCACACAAAATCTGTTAGCAACGAGTAGAGGCGATTGTCGAGCTAATACATCCTATATCATGTTGCTCATTTGCTATATCCGCAGCTGGCAAAAAGGCACTAATCTCCGGACCCCTACACGGGGCACCGTGCAGACAGCAATTCAGCACAACCAAGTTGTTATTGGAGGAATTCCTCCCTTGCAGCGGTAGGTGCGTACCCCAAACGTGCTAATTCTCGGTAAACAAACCACAATTACGCGCTCCGGTTTAGGGTTACAACCAACACCCTCGTAGCACCGCGAGGTCTGGAGCAGAAGAAGGCTCCAGACAAACAGGAGTGTAAATTCGTCCTCAATCACTCCCGGCGAGGGAAGCACGGGGACGAATTGGAGCTACCAAAGCAAAGATAGGGCTTACCGACGAATCCGGACGGATCTCCTCCGCTCAACGCCATGTTCCGGCAGATTGGGCGAGGAGGAGAGAGACGAAGCAGGAGAGAAAAGATGGCTAGCGTAGCTACGTGCTCCGGCTGGAGGAGACACGGAGGCCGTCGGTGGTCGGCGAGGAGAGGTTTCCTTCCACCGTCAGGTTTGACGCTGGTGAGTACGCGAGACGAGGAGGAAGAGGTCCGGCCACGCTAATCATCGCGGGCTTTAAAAACCGGACATGTGCCGGCTTGTTCTGTCCGGGAAAATATCTAGTGCTGTGCTACCGTGATATGAACTTCTGGACCGTCGGATTTTCAGATCGGACGGTTCTCAATGACTCTGCAATATTTCCAAAAAAAATCTTCCAAAGAGTCCAAAAATTGCGCGTAGGTCCAGCGGGTCCAACAATTATCAAATGTCATCCGATCTAAGAATCCGACGACCCAGATGCTTGTATCACGGTAGCATTTAAGTCTCGGTAGCACCAGATTACTGTTCTCCCGCACAATCCCGGTCCGGTTTGTGAAAGTAAAACCTGCCTCGCAGGTCTCACTCATGTATATGTACCAAACGAAAAATGTGAAAAAACTACTTACTCCCCCAATAAAGAAAAATGTCGGACGTCACTTTGGCAGCAGTTGCATCGTCGTTCGTTGGGGTTGGGTGATGCCGGCACATAACGGTGATGAGGGGTAGGGTTTCAATGTGGTTGCATGTAGTCACTGCGGCGGGAAAGAACACAATAGCATATCTGCGATTTTTTCGGTGTTACAGTGGCAAGCATCGTGGCTTAGGCCGAAAGATCATCACACGAGGCATTTGGCAGCCACGACAATTTTTCTTTATTAGGGGCAATTTTTCCTCATTTTTGTTGTGCTCCTCCTTTTGCTTGTGTCCATGTAGGATTTTTGCCATGTCCAGGGTGTGGGTATTTGTAATTCTCGTCATGCCCCATTATGCAGCTTGGTTACTTTTGTCATTTTCAAGTGTGTGTTGTGTGTTACACCTGCGTCGCCATGATTTTGTGTCTTTTCCTTTCATTGCAATATTTGACATAGTCATTTTGGATGTGATATTTGTTACACATTTGACATGATTTATTTAATGAATTGTTTAATTTGTTGTCATGTCGTAATGAATGTGGTAGCTTTTAGACCCGGTCCTAGGGCAAGGCGAGCGGGGCGGACGCCTCGAGCCCGAAAACTAAGTGGCCCATCCTAGATACATACATGTACTTATACTACTCTTCATTCTAATTCTAATGGCAATGTGCGTATTAAAAATCTAGAACGAGGCCCAGGCTTATGTCGGCTAGTACAGAGAGATGTTGGAGTGTGCACACCAGGACGAATCACCTTGCCCTAGAAAAACACCAAGAGGCATCGCCGCATCTTCCATTCCTTTTTTTTGCGGGGCCGCATCCTCAATTCGACACCAACGTCGTCGGGTAGGTATGTTTGCATGTTTGTCTTTCTTCGTCCCAACGAGTAGCTACTTTACGTTTCTGATTCTATACTTGTCCCAATTTGCCCGATTGTTTCTACTCTCTAATCTCTAGTTTCTCGGTCGGGTCGCTGATATGTCTCCAACATATTTATAATTTTTATTGTTCCATGTTGTTAGATTATCAATTTTGAATGTTTTATATACATTTACTGGTAACTTTATATTTTTTTGGACTAACCTTTTGACATAGTGCCCAGTATCAGTTACTGTTTTTTGTTTGTTTTATTTACTTTGTAGAATATCAATATCAAACGAAGTCCAAATGCGACGAAACTTTTTGAAGATTTTTTCTGCCCGGAAGACACCTAGAGAACCAAAGGAGCACACAAGAGGAGGCATGTGGGTCCCACTAGGCACCAGGGCGCGTGAGGGGCCCCAGGCGTGCCATGGTGGGTAGTGGAGCCCACGAGCACCCTTTTGACCTACTCCCGCCTCTATAAATACTCTAAAATCCCAAAACCCCTAGGGGAGTCGAGGAAATACTGTTTTCGCGCCGCAAGTTCTAGAACAAGGAGATCCAATCTAGAGGCCTTTTCCGACACTCTGCCTGATGCGGAGCATTCTAAGGTCATCCCCATGGACCTACCATCGTCTCATCAAGTGCCTACCGGACCCATGACTCGATCACGTGCAAAAGCCTTTGAAACCGAGGTGACATCTCTCCTCTCACAATTCCACTTCTATGCGCATGAAGCATTGCTACTACCTCATATGGATACTTTGTGCATACTCAGGTACAATGGAGAAGCTAAGGAGTAAGGACAAGGAGAAGAGAAAGATGGACGAGAAGACGGAGAAGAAGAAGGGATGTAGGAAAAGTCCCAGCCAACGGACGACCGGCCGGGACCGGACGTCCGGCGCCTGAAGCCTCAGCCGAACCCCAGCGAGCGGACGTCCGGCCCAGACCGGACGACCGGTGCCCCTGCACCAGAAGCGAACGAGCGGACGTCCGATCCGGACCGGACGACCGGCGCACCAGCACCCGAGCCAACATCAGCGGAAGTCCAGAGCTACCGGACGTCCGGCACCCCCATCACAGAGCAGAACCAACGGACGACCGGAGGACATCGGACGTCCGGCAGCTCCTGAGACATCGGACGACCGGTCCCCAACGGACGTCCGATACCTGGCTGCGTCCAGATTCGGGCCCGAGGCCCATGTACCCCTACTTTCGCCCCCATTTGCACCTAGACTATAAATAGACCTCTCCCACCTCCTAGCTAGGGTTAGCGTTGGTTTAGCTCATACTTTGAGATAGAGCTTCGCTCATCCATACCGATCTCCTCCTCGAGAGAGACCGTGGCCCCTCTTCGGAGAAGATCAACTTGGATTCAAGACCCCCTCTTGGGCGGCCCCATCAAGACCTCCTTCTAGGAGAAGAACCGGTTACTTGTATCGTCCTTTGTTGACCTTGGATCATCGTGTATCTCTTTGTGTTTCGAGGATCTAGCACATGTGTAATCGAATCTTGTTGGTTTGAGTGATTCTCTCGTGTTTTCCCTCGTGAATCCCCCTCGTGTTCTTCGTGTTTATCTTTGGGATCCGCTCCTTTCGTGAAAGATCGGCCATTTAGGGTTTCACCCTACATCATCTTGGTATCATGAGCAAGGTTGATCACGATTTCGGAGCCCCCCTCTTTGTTTTTCTAGCTTGATTTTGTTGTTTTTCGTCCTAATCCGAAAATCCCCACCAAAAATAGCCCCAAAATTTTTCTTGTGTTTTGTGAGTTGTGATGATGTTTTGTTGGTTTTGATCCGTGAATTTGTTGCGTTGCAAGTAGATCTAGCCTTCCCCCACCATCTCCACCTCGAAATCCCTCCCAAATTCCCCATATTCCCCCCAAAATCACCTCCTGGATCTAAAATCTAGCGTTGGCCCCGACCACCGGACGACCGTCACATCACCGGACGTCTGGCGACCCAGGAAGCACCGGACGTCCGACGTTACCGGACAACCGGTGACCGGACATTCGTCCGCGCCCGGACGACCGCTACTTCCACAACATCATCCTCTACACCACCTCCAACTTCCGCAAAACCGTCCCAATATCCCTACCCACACCACCACCTAACCGCCACCTTCTCCGACGATTTTGGTCGCCTTTGGTTTTGAGAATTTGAGTTGCGGTATCGTATCCTTTTGTGTTTCGGCTATCTAGGTACGGTTCGACATCGACATCACCGCCGCTCATTTTCGCCACGGACGCGTCATCAACACCGGTCATCAACAACGACCACCTCGACTATGACTTGGTATTCCGAAACAACGATCAACCTTGCTCATGATACCAAGATGATGTAGGGTATTACCTCCATAGAGAGGGGGCTCCGAAACAATGATCAACCTTGCTCATGATACCAAGATGATGTAGGGTATTACCTCCATAGAGAGGGCCCGAACCTGGGTAAACATTGTGTCCCCCGCCTCCTGTTACCGTCCGCCTTAGATGCACAGCTCGGGACCCCCTACACGAGATCTGCCGGTTTGACACCGACACCCATCTTTCACCGGCGACGAATGAAAAGTGAAATGATATTTAGGGAGTGAGCGAGTGTGCTTGACATGCTGGCTGTGGACTATAGCCGACGCGCCTTCTCGCTCATGATACCAAGATAATGTAGGGTATTACCTCCATAGAGAGGGCCCGAACCTGGGTAAACATTGTGTCCCCCGCCTCCTGTTACCATCCGCCTTTGA